GTTTATGCTAATCTGTAATTCTGATGTTCCAGCCTCCTGCAGGCAAAGGCAGATCAAGAAAGCAAACCCTGTCGAAGCAAAGTGATGGGAAGGGTACAGGAAACTGAGGCAAGGGGGATTCAGGAGGCATTTTAGTACCTGAAGATGGTGTAAAGTTCATTGCCTGACTTTTAATTACAGAAATTACAGAAAAATACTGAACTTTAATGGCTTCAGTAAGCAGAAAAGTGTATCTTAAATGTCTATAAGGAATACTTCAGAGGTTTAAGCTGAGTAGGTGCAAAGCAACTCAGAAAAGCAGAGATCACTACTAATTTAAAAAAAGAAATATTTGCTTTTATTTGATATTTTTTATTATCTATTGAACTATCCAGAAGGACTCATGACTCAGAAATGCAGCACTACAGGCCCAGATCCTGGAGATGTAATAACAGAGCTGCTATCACGCGAGAGTGTGAAACAAAGAGCCGGCATTAGCAGAGCTCGGCGCATCCCATTTGGCCTCCTGGAAAACATCTGCCGTTTGTCAGGACTACAAAGCCAGCAGAGCCCTCTCCCCCTTGATCTCCAGCAATTAGTGAAATTCTGTTGTGCTAATTACCTGGGGAGACAAGGTGGAGAAGGCAGATAGCGAGTGACACTTGAAGGGCAACATTTACACCAGTAAAAATTAGGCAGATATTTCAAGTCACTGGAAACCACAAAAAGTACTGTGCCAGACTTCCAGAGCAAGCTGGGGAACGCAGATCTCTGGGTATAAAGTTAGGGTAAACACTAAAATACTACTACTACTACTACTACTACTAAAAATAAAATTATATAAATGATACAAGCAAGAGAGTCTCTGGAGTTGCTGAGTCTGCAGGGGTAGGGAGGGTTTTAAATGATCGTCTCCCCCAAAGTACACATGGTTTGAATTGCTGAGAAGTGGAGCAATCCGCCGTCCTGCTGGCTGGAGCACCACTGCGCTCGTCCTGCTGCCAAGCCATTATTGGGAAATATTTGTCACATATTAACTGGAACATCAGATTACTACACTCGACATTTAACACTGGTTTAGAATATACACATACGTTCGAAAGCGTATGACACCCTCCCAGTGTGAACTCGAGATGAAGGCAGGGATGTGCCCCATCCAGCAGCCAGGAAATTTGGAGTTCAGGCTCAGGAGGTGCTGTTAAATAAAAAGGCACGTGGAAACACAAGGCATAGGTTGAAATACGCTGTGTGAGAGCAGCCAACAGAGCTGGAGCTTTTCACACCCTCAGTCTACAGCACAGCAAGGACCAGCTGCTGGGCAAGGCGTGCTCTGTGGACTGGGGCTGGTTTTTGCTCATTTTTACTGGATTGAAGAGGAAACATTTGTTCTCAGGCTCTAGCAGGGTGCATCCAGCACCTTGAGCTCTTACGGGACCTTCTCACAGAGCTTAGAGACTTTTGGCGTGGCAAATACTGCATTTAACAAGAGCCTTTTGCACCCCAGGTTTTAAAAGACTGCATTGAAAATATAAGGTGGAAAAAATAAAAAAGAATCCTTAAAAAAACCATATATGAAAAGGCATCCAGTGCTCACACAACTGATAAACAAAGCGTTTACAAGCACGAAGTTTTAGTCTTGCCTTCAACCAAGTGCTTATCAGCTGAAGGCTGTCCTAAATGCCATATACACAAGTGTTCCTGCACCTGCTGGGTCTCATCCTGCAGCAAAGGCTGCGTGAGGATCCCATCAGAGAAAGAGGATGAACATGAGGGGATGAGGGGCCTCTGCAAAGTATTACAGGCCTGGCTTAGGGAATGACAATAATACAAATACTGCACTGCTGTTTCCCAGTGAGACAATGTATGGGGACAGCCTGTCCTGGCCCTGCCCGGTGCCCACAGCATGGAACTGCTGCCACCCTGTCCCAAATAGCTCAGGAGACTGAAAGGCTGTATTTGTCCCCAGAGTGGGGTCACCAGCCCATCACAGCGTTCCAGAGCCTGACCCACACTTGGTCCAGCTGCCCCAGCCCCCCAAGGATGCTCTTCTCTCCCTCAGCCACAAAAATGCCCAAACCACAGAGGACCCAAAGTGACACAAAGCTGTTGTCATCATTCCCCCCTCCTTTTGGTTGAATGAATAAAGCAAAACAAGTCAACTCAAAGCAGCACACAGATGTTCAGAGCAACTACAGAGGCAACTTTTTGCAGCGTGCCCAGCATTAGAGACAGATAGCACTATTTTAAGCTGTTAAAATTTTTTTTTATTTTTTTTTTTTTTTTAAATTGTTATTACTGTCAAGGTCAGGTTGGGTAGGGCTCTGAGCAACCAGATCTAGTTGGAGGTGTCCCTGGCTACTGCAGGGAAGTTGGGCTAGATGACTTTAAAAGGTCCCGTTTCCAATCCAAACCATTCTGTGATTCTATGATTTTTCTTGATGACCGGGATGTCTCCGTGGCCCTGGTGAAACAGCCGGGCCCCCTCTGCCGGCCACCAGCTTCTACTGGCCACTGGCCCCTCTCCACAGCCCTGAAAAGCCCCATTTAGAGGCCAATGAGCTCTGCAGACAAATAGGTGACTTAAAGCACAGAATGAGTCAGTTTGTGTTGGGGTTTTCTTTTGGGAGGGGTGGGTATTTGTTTTGTTTGTCTGTTTTACAAGCAGTGATTTAGGATGCTGTAGTCAAAATAATTTGACCCTTATTTAACTCTTAGGTGGATCCTAATCATCGTGTCCCATAAGTCAATTCTACCAAAGCAGTGCCCCAAAAGCAACCTCCACCCCCTCAAATCCAAATGACCCCCCAAACTGACTGACTTCTAGGAAAAAACAGGTCTTGTTTAAAACAAGCCCAGCTGGCAGGGCCAGCTCTGAACATGTGGTTTGCTCCTGCCTCTGCCCACGGGGGGGTCTGTGGGGCTGCAAGTCCCCCTTTTCCCAAAGAGGCAGAGAGGGAGGAACGTCCCCAGCATGAGTGCAGACAGAACCCTCATCAACAGCTCACCAGTGGCTCTCCAGCTCTCTGTAAATTCAGTGGTAAGAAGGAATTCTTAAGCTTAGCAGGGTTTCTGGCAGAGGAAAGCCCCCTTCAGCCCACATGTTCAGGACACCCAGCAGCTTCCAGCTGCCCCCAGGAAGCAGGAGTGGGGCTGGCACCATCTCCCCATCCCCTCCACAGGGGAATTTTCTTTCCCCCAAGGGCTGTTTTTTCAGTGCACAGAGGCAAATTGAAGCTCAGCTGTTAAGCTTGCATCCTGGGGTAGCCCAGCAGTGAATGCCAGCGAGGGCCTCAAGCTCTCGGGAGTTTTCCAGACCAAGCTCTTTAGGTACAAACCAGGAGACAATTCAGCCTTCTTCAGGAGAAAGAGGGAAAAAAATTAAACACATGTAAAGATTTCTTTGATTTGTTCAAAAATAGCTGAAAGGCTTCAGGACAGTCCAGCAGCACATCCTCGTGTAGCACAGCACTCCCCTCCCTGCAGGATGGGACGTTTCCTACCCACCAGGAAATCACTTCTCCTTCCCTGGGCTCACAAATTACTTTGACGTTCGTTACTAATGAGTGTAAGGAGTATTACAGCAGCACGTGGGAAAACCTTCCCCCTTCCTCTCTTCCCCCCATCTCCCAAACACAGCAACCAGCAAACCCAGTGACCCAGAACAGAATTGGGACCTTCCTGGACAAAAGGAGCCTCTTCAATCCCAATTGCTTTCCACAGAGCAAAGGAAAAGCCTCTTGACCACTAAGGCACACCAGTAGTGCCCTGATTGCCCAGACCAGAGAAAGACGCAGCCCCAGAGCCCCGTGAGGTGGATGGATTTGTTGTGTATCAAAAGGGAGGAAACTGTTTTGAGTTTGTTTTGAGAGCTGAAAATAAGCAGGATTTGTGTCTCAGCTGATGGGGCTTGTTACCAGGCAGTGAGGCACACAGGGAACCCACAGGAGCCTTCCACTGGAAAAGCAGCAAGTATGTTTAAGAGCATCATTAGCGAAACGTTTCTGAGGTTATTAAACATAATCTCATGGGGGAAAAAAGTCCATTTCCGAGGTTATTAAACATAATCTTTTGGTAAAAAAAAGTTCTTTTTTTTTTTCCTCCTGTGAGTATGGACTAACGCTGCATGTTCTGGCAGGAGTCAGACCCAGGAGGGCAGGAAAAATTGAGCCTGTTCCTTTGCCTATCCTGCATCTCCATGTAGCATTTATGGTTTGTTTGTTTTCTTTAAAACTACAGTGGAACTATCTGCTGCTTGCAAGTCCTTGTAACACGCCTGTGCATTCTCCCCCATCAAAGCACTGCACATCTTTCACCCATCTTTTGCTACTTCTGTGAAAAGAAAAAAGAAGAGGCTTGAAGTGCTTCAGCTCAAAGTCATTTGCCCCGTTCAGTGTGACAGCAGAGCACTTTACAGAGCATTTCTATAAATGAGGTTCCTTTACAAACTAATCTGAGCTGGTTTTTGTCTCCAAGGAGCATGCACTTCCACAGAAGAAGAGGTTTTTCCGCAGAACAGGAAGTTCTGACGGTTTTAGAAGTTCATTAAACTCTGTGAGGAAATTTAAACAATCGGTGACAGCTTTCCTACAGCAAAAGAAGTTGCTGCCCTCTGAAAAGGCAGAGAGGCTGCAGCTTTTAATTATAACACTTCCATTAAGCCCCAGTGATTGTGTTACTACTTCTAAATTGTTTTGGCCCAACACCCAGGACCCACAACCCAGTCAAGCTCTTCTCTCTTTTATTCTTATAGCCAAATGTCGCTTTTGTCCAAACCTCAAGCTCCTTTATCTGTAAACAGGCCAAGGCAAGGCAGTGGGAGAAGTTAACGGTCTCAAGCACAACAGAGTGCTTCAGCTTGAGAAAAAATACTTCATAACACATTTTCCTTGATAAAAAGGAACATATAAAATAGGAGAGGTGGAGCTCAGTGGCCTCAGAGCCTCTTCAGTGGCCTCAGAGCCTGGCTCCCAGGCAGCTCCCAGGCAGTCTGGCGTGGGCTGTGCTGGAATGTTTGCACCTACCTGGGGGGCACATGCAGTCTGAGGGAGCCTCTCTCGCTGTCCTCAGCTTTGCTAGTCCTTCACCCAGTTTCTGTTTGGAGGAGGAATAAAAACAGTCATTTAGAGAGTACATTATGTCTAAATGCAGGCTGTGCACACGTGCCAACAGCCAAGCCATCCAGCACACTCCCTTCCAGGGAAGTGTAATGGTTTCATCCTGTTGCATTCAGCCTCTTTGGATAATAACCCATGCTTTAGAAGCACATAAATATTAAAGATTTCTTAGCAAGTGGCCAGTCTACAGCTCTCATATGGAGCAGGCAGAGACTCCTTCTGCACATCCCAAAGTCCCTTTAGCCAAGCTCCATTGGTAGGATTCATCCTGAGCTCCTGTTACAAGTCCTGTGTTCAGTTGTGCCGTGATCTGGCTGATATTGTACTTAAAATCCATGCTCTGTGGAGTATTAGAGGTTTCTTTGGAGAGGGATGAGGAGGGGAAAGACAGTCAAGACTGGAGTGCTCACCCACAGCCAGGTCTACCAAAAGCACAGTGTTTCCATCTCCAAGGTGAAAAACTCATTGATGGGACAACTAGAACTCATAAAAATTCACGAAACTCAAGCAGTGTCTACGTGGCATATTGCAGGCAGATGTGAGCACACTCTGCCTGCTCCCTAAGCCAACCACACTGTTCGTGCCTGTTTCTAGGACACTGCCAAGCCCGAGTTAATGAGCCCTGTTGACAGGTATGTTACATTAACTCCAGCCCAGCACTTCATGGCTGGGGCAGCCCAGTGAGGGTGGGAACAGCTCTTCTTCACCCACAGTCCTCACCCTCAGTCCTCCAGGAATGCCCTGTCTTACCTAAAGTACTTGCCAAGAAACAAACCAACAATCTGATAACTGGAGTCCCTACATTTCAAAGAAAGAATATTCAAAGTACCTATTGATTTCAGGGTGTTAAGACTTCAATTTTATACAGCCAATGACCCAGTCTCTGTTCAAATATTTGAACACTGTGGACCATTCAGGAATTAGGCTACCTGTGAATTAGGTTATTTTCCTTTTATTCTGAGGATTAAATAGTTTATCTGTTGCTGAAATCCTATGCATTCCGCTCTAGCTGCTAGGATGTGATGCTAAGAGATCCTGAAAGTATCAATATGGTTTCATAGCACCTCACAAAGCAGTTGTCCTAAGGGCAGTACAAATGCCAGAACAATCCAGTTGCCTTCTGCAAAACACACACCTTCCTTGAGAAAATGTGGCAAAAAATTAGCTAAATGACTTTTCTGACCTGCAGTCTAAATGTCACAGATTTGCTCAAATTTTATCTGTTTACTTTTAAAGTAATTTGGATGATGAAGATGCTTGAGGAAATGAAAATAAGCTCTTCCATCCTTTTAGTTCCGCAGGCATCACTGGGAACAGCAGAGGAGATCTGAATCCTGGAGCCAGTCCTCTGTTCTCCCATTGAATTGCTCTTGTCATGCAACTGATTAATCTGGACACTGTGGACAATAAATCCTTTGTGAACAAAACGGTCCAGCTTTGTTTACAACAACTGGATGCTTCTATAATCCTCCCGTTAATATTTTCCCTCCAGTGTGAAAACTACACGCTTCGAGTTGGGGCTTTTGACACAGAGCAAGTGGAGATGCTGCCACGTCTGGCCCACGCTGTTGGCAGTGTTTCAGAGGCCATCAAAGCAGGAGCCTGCAGCATGTCCCCCTGATGGGACAGCCAAGGGAAGGGCAAGGTCCTGCCACAGTCAAATGAGCAGTTTCTCTAAAGTTAGAGGGATGCCTGTCACAGAGCCAGAAACTAAATCCTAGTTGTCCAAATTGGTTTTCATTACCTTAACTACACACTCAACCTTCCTTTACTGTTTCCTATCCTCTTTTACTTGCCAAACATTTAAACAACACTAGCAGGAACCGAGTCAGTGTGTTGATGTTGTGTTTGCTGCTCTTTACACACAGCTCTGCCATAAATTATGCCAGAAAATCACTCGATTGGTATATGGAGTAATGCTTTTTGGGTCGTGGCAGAACAAAGGATGTTGGGTCATGCACAGAGAGAGTATGGAGCTTTGGTTTCACTTCTGAAATACTGTGGTAAACTTCAAAGGAGGGCCAACACAGAATTTAACAAAAAACTGACCCCAGGCATCAGTTGATGTTCATGACGATGGAAATATTCTCTCGCTCTCCAGAAACTCTCAAGTACAGAAAGAACAGGAGTTGCCTGACAAGCGAGCCATCTTATGTAACAGAGTTTGGTCAAGAAACAGACCCTTCCTGAAACTTTACCATAAATTAATAGGTTCATTTGAAATGGTCATTAATAGATAATCACAATCTCTACCATGCATTCTTTGAATTTGTTACTTGATTCAAAATTTGCTCTAGTATTGACAAAAGTTTGGCCATACTAAATATTTCAACAAGCTCACTCCTGCATTAGAAACACAATTATGTGGTTTTACTTTATTTTCCCCTGTACAAACTCCATCTGAGCATTCCCAGTACAAAACAAGCTTTCCACACTTAACTAAATCTCAGCAAGAGGTTGCACATGATCTTACGCAGTGCCACAGAAACCATTCCCATTGCTAAGCACATTTGTTGGAATAATTGGAACAGAACCACTGCCACGACCAGCAGGCTAATTCCTGCCTGGAGAAAAGACGTTAACTCGAGTCTGTGACTGTGCCTCACAGGCACCCCTCTGGTCTGGTATTCAGGGGTTTCACAAAAATATTTTTAACATTTCACTTTTATCAAGGCACATCAATGCAACTCCGACAGCAATAAACAGCATCAGGAATTGTCTCCCCATGCCCCCAGCACTGCCTCCATCCCTGCTAAAAGCCCCACAGCTGGTCACAGGGCATCACATACAAGCACATTTTTGCACGACTGAGGCTTCATGGCTGTCACATTTTTATGCAGCACCATGTTTTGCACCCAGTCAGGCCATTAATGAAATCCCAGTGTAAAACCTTCCCCAGATGTCAGAATCGATCACTTGGGGTGTCCTTGGGCAGCCCCGTAAGCCGTGTTGAATCTTGCTGAACTTTAGGAACTACTGTTTAAACAAATCCAGCAAATCAACTGTGGGATCTTCAAGCATTTCCTATGAGTGATGGAGCCGTCCCTGTCCCCCCGTGCCTGCAAAAAGCCCCAAACCTAAACACCAGAGTCAGGAAAAAGATGATCCTGGAATCAACTAAAACTTCTTCTAGAGATTTGGTTTAGTTACAGAGAAGGGCATCAGTGTGCATAATAGTTCTCCAAGTAGGGGAAATCTTTCAGCACAGAAATATTTATTGAATAATTTCAGAAAACCCTGGGACTGAAAGTTAAGTAACTAGTGGCGGGTCTCCTCTGCTCGCCGTAAATCAGTTCTGCACTGCCAGACCACAATACGCTGGGAGAGACAGTCCAGATAACAGGGATCATGTTCATAAATTTCTAACAAGGAAATTATGGTCCATTACATCCCAAGATAAATAGTATTTAAGTACTCGGGTTACCTGTGCCAGTGAATAGAATGAGAGGGGAAAGTCGCATGTCCTCAAACCCTGAACTGCCCGCCCTTCACCTGGGGCATTTTGCCTTGTAAACCAGACGGGCACTGCCACGCCTGATTCACGGAAATGGCAGCAAGAAGGGGAAAGTTTGGTAAAAGGGAGGAGAAGCCGGTGACACTCGGAGCGAGCCCCGCGCTCCCCGCGCCGGAGCGGAGCCGGGAGCGCCTTCCCGGTCCTGCGGGCGCTGCCCGCCCTGCCCGCCACTCACCTCGCGGAAAAGCTGCTCCACGCGGGGCTGCAGCGCATCCAGCAGCGGCCCGTGGGCGGCGGCGCCCCGCTCCTCCAGCGCGGCCAGCCGGCCCTGCAGCTCGGCCGTCTTGGCGCCCAGCAGCAGGCACACGGCCACGGCGGTGAGCGAGAGCAGCAGGCACAGCGCGGAGGTGGCGGTGCCCGCCGCGGCCGCGGCCCCGCTGCCGCTGCCCGCGCTCATCGCGCCGCGCTCCGCGCCGCTGCGCGGGGTCCCGCTCGGCTGCCGCCCGCCCCCCGCCGCCCGCGCATCCAGCGCCGCCCCGTGCGCCGCGGGCGTGGGGCCGGAGCTGCGGAGCGGCCGCTCTCCTCCGCTCGCCCCGCCGGCCCGGGTCTTAAACGGAGGAAGCGGGGGGTGACGGCTCCCCCCCGCCGCCTCCCCCCGCCCTGGGGAAGGGGGGATGCTCCGAGCGCTGCCCGCCGCCCCCCATGGGGGATTACGCGGAGCAGATCCCACCCCCGCTGCCCGGCCCCCCGCGGGGACCGCTCCCCCTCCCCGCACACCCCATCCCGCCCGCCCGCCAGCCCCCCCGAGGTCCCGGTGGATCCCCGCGGCCGGGGCACGGCCAGAGCCGCTGCGGGGCACGGGGTGGTCGCGGGGCAGCCCCGCTCGGGTCCCCGCACCGGTCCCGGTGCGGCAGCGGGGGCGCAGCGCAGCCCGCGGGCCGGGCGCCCTCCAGCGGGATCCCCCCGCCGGGAGCGAGGGAAGGAGGGAGCGCGAAGGATGTGCCCGGCCGCGGGGACACGGAGACGGGGAACGGCAGCGCTCCCGGAGAGCAGGACCTGCGAGAAGCGTCACCCGGCCAGGAGGTTTGTGCCTTCTGCGCTACAGCCCGTCTGGACCGCGGTCTGTTTTAGGGAAGAGACCTTACCGGTAACCCCATGGCGCATTGTAACTCACGATGTTACCGCGCTGAAGTGCCCCATACACTTTAGGGAGCCCATGAATGAGAGAAACTGTGCTCATATATAACACTAAGTATCCCCACACTCTGCCGTGCCTTTTCCTCGCTGTTACAAGTGCTTTACAACTTTTAACTTACCCGTAAAACAACCTCTGGTAACTTCATGCCTTACTGCCTGTCTAGACTCTAAGCACATAGCAAGTCCAAATGTACTCTTTGCCTGCTGACCACAGACACTGCCCTAGTAGGAGTAATTCTTACTTCTAGAATAGATGAGTGAAGCATAGGACAGTTAGGAAATGCTGTTATGTCAGTAATGATACCAATGTCAGATTCCAATTAAGTTTGTCAATAAAACACACACATGTGCACAGCTAGACGGCAGTGCTGCATATAGACATGATTTCGTAGCTATTTCCAAAGCAGTTAGCC